CAGGTCTGGCTGCGAGAAGCCAAGCTCACCCAGAGAGCGCTGAAGCACTGACAGGCGTTGCACTTCATTGGGGCGACTAAAGGCCATGATGTCGGCCGCGCGCCGCTTGACTGCGGGGTCCATTGCCCCGAGGCGGTTAGAGCACATGATGATGGCAGCAGGCACGCGTGCGTTGGCGATCGTGTCAATTCCGCGGATGAATGCGTTAACGCCCGCGCGATCTTCATGGTGCATCTGCGCGGCCTCACGGGACTGAGCCAGCGCATCTGCTTCGTCCACCAAAAGAATTAGCCCGCCACGGGCCTTGCCCGTACTGCCTTTTAGCTTCATGGCCTGGGACAGCGTGTAATCGAAGGCGGCCGAGAGAAGTTGTGTCATTTCGCCAACACGACCCTGCCCTCTACTTGACAGGCTCAGCGGCAACAAGGTGATGTCAATGTCTTCTTGCCGTGCGACAGCATCACCGATCGTTTCAGCAAGTTCGGTTTTCCCCGACCCCACGTCGCCGGCGAGCACGACAAGAGGCGGGCGCCTCAGGACTGTATCCATAATGACAGTCCGTCCAGCGTGATGCTTCCGCGCCCATGCCTCCAATCCGGCGGGGTTTACGAGCAGCCCAAGGGCCTTCGTCAGGCGCGTTTTGTGATCGTCCAAGCCGACAAGCTGAGCCAGACGCTCCCGAGCGGAAACATCAGGATAGCTGATGCGCCGGTCGAACAACTCATCGACGTTGACGGTACTGTTCATCACCAGCTCCTCACGGTAGCCCGGTCGAGGGCTCTGCCGCCCGCCGAATAGGTCTTATCGGAAACCAGATATCCATTGATGCCCGGTTCCGGTGCGCCGTTTCGTTGAAGAGGCAAGGTTCGTTTGAAGGCCTCCCGTTCGTCGGAAGTCAGCGCATCCCATGCGGCGCTATAGGTGAGATAGCTGTAGAACGAGGCGCCGGAAGTATCGGCATTGGGGGAGACACGGCCGGGATCATCATCATTGGCCGCCATACCCGCCAAATCCTTCGCAGTGTACCGGACCGTGGGGGCAATCCAGTCGCCATTGCGGCGAAAGCCGTAAGTGACGGTTCCCAGATACCCTGCTTT